CGGCCTGGTGTACGAAGCGAATCAGCCAAGCCCGAATCAGCACGACTGCGGTTGTACAGCCGCCCGGCCATAGGTTTCTGCGACGACCATCACGCCCACCTCCGAAGACAGCTTCCTACCGACATCCAGATTGGCCGGCTCTGAAGAGATCCGATTCATTTTGCCACTGCTTACATCGATCCATTGGTCGAGAAAAGCAGCCCATCTCGACAGACACCACAAGATCAAAAGATAGGTGCGCCTCGGGACACATGCGTGATAGGGTATCGAGAAGCAGCATCGCATCAATCAGATCACACACTTCACTGTTGACAAGAATCTTTGACTCAGGTACAATTCGTGAAACGCAGAATAAAGCAAACATATGTTCAACAGGGCAATTCTTGTAAACAACAACCTGAACACACCAGCGACATGGGGTATTCCCTCAGTGATGATGCCGGAGGCTCGATCCCTATGCCCGAAAACCCAATCCGTCGTCAAAATCAAGTCCCATCCCAGAATACGACACACGAAAGGCCTGATCCCGCCACACATGCTGGCACAGGAATAGTCGCGCGGTCGGCAACCATTCCCATTGACGTCAAAGCCGCGGAAGAAGTAGAGGTAGTGGAGGCTGGTGCGAGGACCAGGTACGGAGAGAAGAAAGGAGAATGTAGCATTTGTACCCGTAGGTGTCATGCGTGCCCTCATGATGGCAGTGGTGAAAATTGGTGTCCCTGTCTGAGACCTGAGCGTACTCCAGCCGAAACCCGAAAAAAAAAACAATCAAAACAATCATGGAGGAACCCAAGCAGCCGGATATAGTTTCGGCAGATGCGCGTGCGTCTCCCCCGCCGTGACGAATCCCTTTTTTCATTACTCATAGCAAGATCAGGTAGTTGCTTGGCGCGATACCTGTGTCGCCGCTCTCCTTCCGCGCTTGCCACCACCGCCCGCTGACATCACTGACCTCGAGAATCTCGTGCTTGCTGAATGAGATCTCATTCGCATCTTCAGGGTTGGCCTCGTAGCTGTAGATGGCCTTGGCACGGTAAGGGTACTCTGTCGGCGGGCCGACCTCCTGGTCTTGGCCTGGCGGCTTGCCGTTCGCCGTCACTCCAGTCGAGTTCAGGTTCGGCACTGCGGAGTTCCGAGGCGCCTGCGATTGCGAGATGCCGCCGACGGGAGAGGGGTTTTCGAAACCGTTCAACTGCGCCGATGTGTACATCTGTGGAGGTTGGACCGAAGTGGACGTTTCGGGGCGTCCCGTGCCGTACGTCATCGTGTTGCGTGAGCCGTGTCCCTCCTTTTGCAGGGCAAAGGAGTCGACATAAGCACGTGGTGAGGCCGAAGGCGCGGAGCCGAAGTAAATCATCCAGAGTGCCTTAGAAGGGAAAAGTCAGTGAGGTCGAGCGGGACATGAACGAGAAGGTCTTACCATGACAACCGACAGCAGGACATAGCCGGCAGACGCAGCCTGCATAGCGCCACGACCATCATATACGATCCTGTTAAGAAGTATAGACAAGGTGGCAAGCGCAAGTGTTTGGTAGGCTGTCAAGGCAACGTGATACGTCTGGATCGTGTCCGAGGCAATAACGAAGAAGACGGCGCCGACGATGCCAACTTCGAGAGCGAGGATCCACCACGCAAGGTTGGGGAGATCATTTGTCTGTACCGCAGCGACGATGCTGCTGATAAACGCGATGACCCACGCCAGCTGAGAGACAACAGATTAGCACGCGAACGATGGGCGACGCGAGTTCAGCGACATACCATGGCAATGGAGATTGATGCGAGGGCAAAGGGGTCGCCAATGACATTTCCCATGTTCATCCCCCTCCTGCCGTACTGAGCTCTAGAGTGTTCCATTTTACCCAGCGATGGCGAGTGCAGGGAACCGTAAGGTGGCATAGAGAATGGTGATTTGACTGGTGGTCAATTCGAGCTGACGCCTTGAGAGCAACTCGTACGTTGGGGCGCGCTTCGAAGTGAGATGGGAGTTTTTGGAGTAGAGTTGGAGGTTTAGTTGAAGCAGGCTGTCGTTGGAAGGATGGCCAAGGCGAAGTTCGAGTGTCGAATGCTGGTTAGGTTGGCGTTCGTTCGTGATTAGGGGTGGGCAGCTGGTGCTAGAGGCGCATTGGCAATGTTGTGTGAAGGGACGACGGGGAGGCGAGTATTCGTAGGGAGGGGAGTGTCAAGTGGTGAATGAATGTCGTGGAAGAGGCTAAGGAGCGGCTGCGATAGCTTGTGGTGGTTGGGAATGGGACGTTGAGTGCAAGTCGGTCTAAGGCTGGTCGAATGCGGAGGGTCAAAACCTAGCAGCCGGGGAATGCGAACTCGCGTCGAATGCGTTCAGAGGGATGGATGCCCAGCACCTCGACTGGCACAATGCAGCCGTATTGATTTTTTTTTTCGTGCCTCTTCCGTCTCGTCAAGAGTACAAGATGGGTCAAGAAATAATGATAGCATAAGCAGTGATGACGAAAGGCCTACGTCGTCATGCCGATATGGATGATTGA